TTTTTTTTAGTTTCCTTATATTTATTATTACCTTAAAATAAAGAATCTCTTGTATCTGACGATTTCAGTTTTTTCTTACCATTGTTGATTTGTTGTCGAATAATACAACAGGTGAACAGAATCTTCTCAGACAATGCATTTGATGCGGTTATGCATTTTGCTGCTGTAGCTTATGTTGGGGAGAGTACACTTGATCCTCTCAAGTTAGTACCTTCAAATTGTTTTAGCTCTTTTATCTCAAGTATTCCATGTTGTTTGTTAAACCTAAGATGAAAAGCTGCTTATATAGCTTTTTAAGTGAATTTCGAGCTTATAACTTATAGCTTATGACTTATGGATGAAAAGCTAACTTATAAAATAAAAGTGTTTGGTAAAATTAGCTCTTAAAAATTTCAAAGGGCTTATTTGAAAAGCTACCCGATAAAGCTTATGAGATAAGCTCGAGCTTTATAGTACCAAGCCAAACTTATTTGAATACAATAAGCTTATAAACTAATCAAATAAGCAATAAGCTAGCATATATGCTTACCAAACGAAACTATGTTGTAGTCTGGAGAAGAACTAGAATGCACTTTGACGTGATATTCAAGTCAAAGTTAACATATTGAAGCTGATCATTCTTTATATATACGCTCGTGCTTTATTTTTCGTTTGTGTCACAGATATTATCACAATATCACGTCAAACACACTTGTCGTGTTGGAAGCTATGGCAGCACATGGAGTGAATATTTTAATTTATTCAAGTACATGCGCTACTTACGGCGAACCTGAAAAGATGCCCATTACAGAAGAAACACTGCAAGTGAGTGAAAGTTACATTTGCAATGTAATAATCGGTTAAAATCGTTAATATTTTTTACGATGTGAGAAAAGCCCACTTAGCAGCCATGTGTGTTTTTTTTTCTCTATGTTCTTAGCTTCCCATAAATCCATACGGGAAGGCGAAGAAAATGGCAGAGGATATCGTTCTGGATTTTCACAAAAATTCTGATATGGCTGTCATGATTTTAAGGTACACGCACTTTTAGTGTACGTAATTTTTTTTGAACCTTCATATCGACTCTATTCCGTGGCTCCTAGTTTTGGTAAAAAAAAAAAATCGGTTCTGATAGGCAAACATTAAACACTTTTTTTTTTTTAATTCAGATACTTTAATGTGATCGGTTCTGATCCCGAGGGAAGGCTCGGTGAAGCCCCTCGGCCCGAATTACGCGAACATGGACGAATATCAGGTGCTTGTTTCGATGCGGCTCGTGGGATTATTCCTGGGCTTAAGGTCCTCTTCCATCTTTTACTGCTCAAATTAAATTTTTATCCACTTCACTCAACAATCAGAAATTTTCGGAGTGTTGTGGACTCGTAACAAGTAATCACGGGCCAAATCACATAAAGAGGCATTTTTTTTTTAATTTTTAAATTTCACTAATGAAGGTTAGAGGAACCGATTACAAGACTCCAGACGGGACATGCGTACGGGATTATATTGACGTTACTGATCTGGTCGAAGCTCACGTTAAAGCTCTGGAGAAAGCAAAACCCGGGCAGCTTGGCATTTATAACGTCGGTACAGGAAAAGGTACACATACATCATGGTCCATTTTAAAGGCTGAATTGCATTTTTAGTCGGGTTGGTTCAAACGGCATAACAATTTTAGTCTCGAGATTCTAGCATTTCGCCTTGCCTTTTGGTCATGTAATTTAATATTTTGAAGCTGCAATTTCAGTTATTTGAGGACTGGTATTACAACAAATTTCCGAATTTATAAATTTTTTAGGTCCTATAATTTTAAATTTTTGTTGCAAACAATTCTGTATGGATTTTTGAAGTCATATAATTTAGAAATTTTGTTGCAATTTCAGCTTTATATATTTTTTAGATCCTATAATTTAAAAATTTGTTGCAATTTCAGTCCTCAAAATGACTACAATTGCAGCAATATATTAAATCAGAGGACTAACAAACGAAAAGTTGGAACCTTGAGACGAAAATTGCTAGGGCGTCAAACCAACATGAGTGAAAATGCATTTTTGCCCCCTTTTCAATGTCAATGTTTATATGCCATTTGATGATACATCTTTCGACTTTGAAGTTTTGCTTTATTTTATTACTAAAAAAATCATTTACCTTTCGAAATTTGTGTATATATCACAGGAAGATCAGTGAAGGAGTTTGTAGAGGCTTGCAAGAAAGCAACTGGGATGGCTTTAAAAGTCGATTTTCTTCCCAGGCGAGCTGGGGACTATGCTGAAGTATACAGTGACCCAACCAAAATCAAGAACGAACTAAATTGGACTGCAAAATACACTAACCTTCAGCAAAGTCTACAGATTGCGTGGAGATGGCAAAAGGCACATCTTAACGGTTACGAAACAACCCCTCTGTTAACGTCAGCGTAAATATAAATAAATATGATAAAGCTCTTTGAGGTTTTAGGGCTGGATGACTAACATTGAAGTTCGCCATACATTACAGTCGCGTAGAATTTTTGTTTTTATTTTTTAGTTTTTCCTTTTTTTTGAAGTTTTTTAGCAGTGTTTTGAGGGGGGAGGTTTGATGTAATTCTTTTACATCATTATATTCCTGCATTGCATAGATTGGGATGTAATTCGAGACAATATTCTTTAGCTGAATTTATATGGCTGTTTTGGTAACTATAGCCCAACATATTTAAGGTTTTTGTGCACAATGAAAGACTCGATAAATGAGTCGATAAATAAGATCGAAAGGGGTGAAAAACACCTAAATTAATAGATCGATATAAATCGTGATTTCAACAGGTGAAGATTTTGCGTTTCTGTGTAATCTAATTTAAATAAAATGGAATTTTCAGTACATATATATGATTAGAATTCTGATGAACATGAATTACACAAATCAAAACAACCAAAAAGCAGCCAACATCAAATTCATCAAGCAAGTTTTTAAAGGACAAATAAGGCCTAAAATTATTTTCAACTGTCGAAGATAAGTGGATTGTTTCATTGAAAAAAAAAAAAGAAAAAAAGAAATATAAAAGCGAAAGTTAATGGAGATGCGGGGTATCGATCCCCGTACCTCTCGCATGCTAAGCGAGCGCTCTACCATCTGAGCTACATCCCCTTGATGACATTGTTATGCGAGAGTATTCAATTCATGAATCTGGTACACACTATATTTGAAGTTCTAATCCCGAAACCTGTTGGACCATGTTGGGAGTGGCTTTGGATTAATCATCGAACCGAACATTGACATATCGAACTAAATAAAAATATGTCGATATAAAGCCTGTTTGTTTGTTAGCTCAATTTGATTGGTTTAGTATGTCTGTATGTGAGTTCACATTTTTCCATTGTATTTATTGTTTGCTTCGTGTCTTGACCTTTGGTACAACAGAAGATGAAGGTTGATATAAGGAAAGAATTGAACCTCTCATCATTATGATGTGAGTTAAGCGAACACCAAATGAATCGTGATAAAGAAACTACATCAAAGGACAAAGATTGTGTACTTGGGGCAATTTTCGGGTTTACTTGGTAGCAAAAGATGAAGTTAAAACTAAGGAAAAATGGTCCTTTTGTTATATTGTAAGTTCGATGAAACCAAATTAATTAACACGGTCACGACTTGCCATTCGCAAGAGAACTTTTTTGCGACCAAAGCCTCCTCATATTACACCAAGTCCAAACTTTAATGAAATTCCAGTGATCTAACAGCAAACGAAAACTGCTATTTAGTATAAACCATAGAAACAAGCAACAAATCATGAAAGCAAAGTCACAAATTGGTTCAAGGAAATGTTACACCAATAAAAATATACGTAATTTTGTTTTTTCTCTAATAGTCGAAAATGCACTAAATAAACAACAAGAATCTCAAAATTAGGGGCAAACCCCACTACTATTCATGCAACTGTTTGAACTGCTCTGTCGAAACTCTCTTCCGCAGTTGATGCGCGCTTCACCAATATGTGCTCTGGATCTGACAATTTCAATTGGCTGAGGAAAGCAAAAATATATAAATATGCAAATAAATAAATAAATCATGTGTATATTATTGCAACAACACCATTCACAAGAGTAGGGGATGAAAACGAAGTACCAGAAGTAAAATTCTAACAAACCAAACTAAGAGAAATGACAACTTGTTATATTCAAGTATCGGCAAAAAGGTATTCCAATTCTGTAAATATTTTAAATGATCTTATTATCATAGCACAAGAATTTCAATCTCAAACCTGAGATAGCGTGATGATGGTTTCCCAAGGTGAAGACTGCAGACAACAAGATTCGCAAGAGTTTCCGGATCCTTTGCGTCCTGCCTCAAAACATCAAAAACCTCAGTTTTCAGGCAAAAAATAAATAAATAAATAAAGGAAGCACTTGCATAATCTCTATGACAAAGCTATTAATCAGGAAAAGCATATATATTTGATGGAAAAGAAAAATTAAAAGACATTCTGCTTCCAATCTAATTAACTCCACCTTGTTTAGGGCCTCAAGCAGTAGTGTTTCAGCCTCGTCGAATTCTCCCTTGTGCATGCAGCAAACAGCCTTACCATTCAGAATCAAACCAGTCATTGGGTACTTCTCAGAGAAGTCCTGGAAAATAAGATATGCTTCCTGGATCTTTGAACCACCCTAGCAAATAAAATAGGTAAAATTACACAGATTCTCAGTTTAATTTAACCACGAGAAAAATGTTCGTCATGGAATAATTTGTTTTTTACCACAGCCAAGTTTAGCCACGCATTGGCAAGTTGAGTTAGGGTGTGGTCTTCGTCTATTCCTTGCATGACTCTCAGTTGCTTCTCTGCATAATCTGACCTGTGCATCTTGAGAAAGATTTGGACATTCAAAGCGTAACTGCAGGAAGTATAATGTTGTCAAAAGCCCATGATAGTTGATGTATATCAATATCTAGGTTTAAGTTCGTAAAACAGAAACACGGACATTATACGCACACAATACATGCAAAAGTAAAAAGAATATATTGAGTAACCTCACATAATGGAGTCGCGAAGCGAGCATGAGATCTCGTAAAATCAGTGTAATATGGAATAATATAGAATTCTAAATCATGTTCTTTTGCTGAGGTTGAAAATGGGCCTTTCTTTCTGAAGTAAAAATATAAGAAAACACATGGATGATGAAGATCGTTTAGGTTGTGTCCTTAAATTCCTAAAATAAACCGTGCGCGTGAAACTCCCGTATTGATACATATAATTTTTTTTATTCTTTATCTAAGCAATGACTCACAGTTCCATCGTTCCCCCAGTATTAGTATGTTTCAGCGCCTCATTGTAATCCTGTTCGTGCATGAATATAATCCCTGCAATAAGCCGTAAAATGGGGTTGTTTCCAACGGCTGGATCTCCTAACCACTCATGAAGGCTCGAAATTGTCGTTTCCTACACATGTATAAGCTAAGCACACTTAGGATAAATCATCTGGTAAAATAATTACCAAAAAAGTTACTATTCTCTCAAGATTAATTTCAACACTTGACAACACTGGGGAAAATAATTGAAATGAAGTGCACCCAATAGATATCACAAAATTCACTTTCATTCCCAAAGCTTTACATGTCAACTCTTCACTCATCTCAGTAGATAGTTCGCATTCTTCCTAAATTGCATTAAACTTACCATAGGATCAAACTGCAGCTGCAAATTTACTTAAAAAAGTTGTAATTCAAAACCTTCATTTTATGGAAAACTTCACAAACCATTCTACGATCTCAAAATCCGAAAAAAAAAAATAAAGGACTTGATGTATTCAATCGAGGGATTACATCCAAACTACAATTTCCTCGAAGAGAATCAATTTACTCTATACTTGACACCCGATTCACTGGTACAACCAGACAATATTCTTATCCTCGAGACATCCTTAATTAATTTATTATACACCCAAAGCAAATATCGAACTATGAATCTTTACATGAGATTTGGCAATTCCAAATCTACATGAAGAATCCAAATCTCAACCTTTTAAAATGTAAATCCCATATTAATAGATCTTATCTCTTAGGACGTATACCACAGATCAACTGCATCTAAAAAGACCAAAATCAAGGCATCACCTTGTTTGCAGGGCTTGAGAGATACAGAGCAAGCAATTTCACAGCCTGAAGAGGCGTTGCAGCAGTTGAATCAATCTCATTAATCACAAGCTACAAACCAAAAACAGAGAATGAAAACAGTAAGCATAAAATCAAGAAGCTCCTCGAGTCATATCCAGCTTATTACCACAAAACGCAACAAATCTCAAATTTGAATGAAGATAAATACACTAGATCGAGCAAACAACGACCAAAAATCACGCATCTGAAGCATAATCTGACCATACCCAGCTTATACCATAAAACCCAACAAATCTCATATTTGAATGAAGAAAAACATAAAAGGTCGAGCAAACAACAACCACCTCAAATCACGCATCTGAAGCATAATCGGATCGTACCTGGTAACTCCCGAGGGCAATGTAAGAGCGGTAAACGAGAGAATCCCTCTCAACGATTTCGTCTGAAGAAAGGTTAGGGACTTCGCTGTTGTTGATCGCGGCTTGGTACGCTCCCAAGTAGAAATTGTTCCTCAATCCGAATAACGGGTCGGGTCCTCCGGCCGCCGCCATATTTCTGATCTCCGTTCGTTTT